ATAAATGAAATGAAAAGGAGAGGAAAAAAAAAAAAAAAAAATCAAGACAAAACATCCCATCACAGTGGGTGGAATCGACTGCCAGCTCATTAGAGCTGGCTTTAGAGCTCAAGAATTAGAGCTCCAAAGCATTTTTCTTATTTTGTCTACTGTATTATTCTTAAATAGGATAAGTCTTGGCGTGTCCGCTATATGGTCGCAAATCAGTTATATGAACTTTGTGAAGCTGTGGGGCCTGAACCTACCAGGTATTTATCTACTGTAAATATTTCCTTATGTTGGCTACACACAGCTTTCATTTTGTTTTGTCAGGTTGGCTTCACTTACATTTTATTCTACTCACCATGTGATCATGTACCATCTTGGGCAGTCTTGAAAGAATTTAATAGCTATATATACTTATATTATTGGTCTTTTTTATCACTGATAACATAGACACGTATATATATGTAGTGTTTTGCCTGTTTTCTTTAGATTTGAGTCTTATTTATGTCTTGGTGTTTCAGTAGTGGCTCTCCTTGCTCTTTTTTTTTTTCGAAATGTTTAATTGATGTGATCATATTACTATTTAAGGATGGATTTGGTTCCTGCATATGTGTGCTTACTTCAAGATAATGAAGCTGAAGTACGTATAGCAGCTGCTGGCAAAGTCACCAAGTTTTGCCAGATTCTTAATCTCGAACTTGCTATTCAGCACATTCTTCCCTGTGTAAAGGTGCATATCTCTCCCTCTCCCTGTTTTCACACGCACAAATGATCATGCATACGAAATTTTTCTTGTTTGTTTGTGGACCTACTCCTTACCCATTGTGCCATTAATGTCTTGTGTCTTATCACTTGGCAACAACATTTTGTAGGAATTGTCGTCAGATTCTTCTCAGCATGTTCGCTCTGCTTTGGCTTCAGTTATAATGGGAATGGCTCCTATCTTAGGAAAGGTAAGAATTTCCTGTGGAAAGTCTTATTCATTAACTCCGGTTAGGGAGGCATTCATTAGTTTCTAATTTGTGCATGCAAAGGTGAAATATAACGATGCATACTTTGGATTTTTTTAATGGCCATGTTGATTAAATTTTGTCGGAGAAACTAATTGTGAGAAACGATTTAAATCTTTTAGTTGTAGTAAATGTGATACCAGCTGCAAATAATGGGGAGGGCATTGTTTTACTAAAGCATTAGAAACCTTTCACCAATATGTATGTTTTTGTGTTGCTTTATTTTGTACTTGCCTACTTGGTTCCAGGTCAGTCTGACCACTTGTAGGGTTGCTAAAGTGATTAATTAGTGCCTTGACTTGGATGTTGTTGTCATTCTACAAAGATGGTTCAATATTTTATTATTCCTTACTTTTTTACCCCTTACAAAATGATATTTTGTTCTTCATTGACACTATCTATAGATTTAGCAACATTGAATGTTTTCTATATTACCAAACAGCACTTGGTACAAACATCTGAGGTTTTTTCCTTTTTATTTTGATTTTATATGTACTTGTGGCACCCTCTGATCAAAATCTCAGAAGGTTTGTCTTTATCTAACTACATTTTATAGATTGGCATTTGGTGGATTTAAATTGTTGATATCACCATCCCCTTTGACTTATATTTATATGAAACAGATATGGTTGAGTAAATTTCATCTTTCATCACACTTGCAGTTGTGTGTTTTAATCTGTTCATCTTTTGAGTTTGCGGTTTTATTTTATTGCTATAAATATCTACATTTGTAGGTTGGCATTTATGTTTTGAGTGTTATGAAGTTTGTTAAATTTCTCATGTATTACCTCAAAATTCTTTGTGGTCTATCATTTAGTATTTTTTTTTTATTTTTTTTTTTGTAGGGAACAAAATATTGTGTACGCGATTGCTGAAGTGTGGGTGGTTTTGTTTGTGCAATATATTCTGATTTCTTATTTATATAAAAATGCAATTTTGTTAATGCTGCACTGACTGCAGCTAACTTTTAAACTTGGTTCGGTGGTTAATGCAGGATGCAACAATTGAGCAGCTTCTGCCAATATTCCTTTCCCTTCTGAAAGATGAATTTCCTGATGTACGCCTCAACATTATAAGGAAACTTGATCAAGTCAATCAGGTTTGTGGCAATATTAGGTGTTGAACTTTATTTATGCTTTTACATGTTGAGCCATCCGTCATTAATTCATCATGTGCCTTCATTGGCCTAGCTGATTTGCCACCTAAATGCTACTTCTCCAGCAGACTCTTATAAGCACACAAGGTTCTCTTGTCAAAATTGTGATGTCCTTTAGAAAATCTATTTAAAAACCACCTGAAGCTTCATAATTGCTTGCTTACCAAAAAAAAAAAGAGATTAGAAAACAAAAAAAAGACCTGTTTTCTTGGATGAATATTCTCACTGGTTTTGAAATTTTAGTCAACCTCTTTTTAGTTGTATGCTTTTATTGCTGCTCATTCTCTCGGTTCTGTGAGGCACTTGTATTTGGTTGGATGGGGACATGCATTTTTGTTTCACAGACAGAGATATGAAAGACAAAAGGTGCACCTGGTAGGGCAGGGGCTTGTTAGATGTGAAATGCACATGTACAATAGATGGGTGTAAGACATCCATTTCCATTTACTTTCATGCATTGCAAATGTTGATTATATAGGAAAATGAACTTGTGTTATTTATCATTCAAATGCTCCTCAAATCATTTGAAAATCTTCTCACAATAAAAAATTCTTTCATTCATGGCTGATTTTATGTCAGTACGATTTAGCAAGGCAATTCACTTTCCAGATGCTTTTGTGCATATTATTTTTATCTTTTTTTAAAATTTTAATTAGTCTAGAGATTCTCGTTAATTGTGCTATGATCTTTGGAAAACCTTTACAATTTCATCATGATTATTCTTAATGTTCTTTTGGTTTAATGATTGTTTGATACTATTATAATCTATAATTCTGGCAGTTGTGTTCTTCTCTAAGCACAACATTAATGTAAACATTAAAAATAAAATGCAAGGGTGAGAAATGCCCATGCCAGCTGAATATATAACTTCGGAATATGATTCTATGTTATGAGTATTATTATTTATTACTTACAAGTTACAAGTTTGTCCAGCATTTGATAGTCTAACATGTTGGATATGTAGACACAAGACCCAGAAATCGCCGAAAACATAGATACAGTAGTTGCTCCTCCGAGGAAGAACGTTGGCGTTGTTGAACCAGTCGATCCGTGGGCTTTTCTGGTAATTTTTGGTTCTTCATTTTCTTCATGGTTTACTTGTTGATTCGCTAATCTCAACCCGCATTGATTATTGGTTGGTTTGAATCTTGGAAATGATTGAACTCACTAGTGTTTCTTATGATTTTGAAGAAAAAAAATGTATACGTTTTTTTTTCTTTCTTTTCCTGTTGATCGGTTATTTTTTGATCTGGGAATGGTATATTCACTTCAATATGTTATGGATTCTTGATCTTGGTCTGTTTGGGTTCATGTTTAAAGCTGGGTTTTGATCTTCTCGGGATTAATTATTGCTTTGAATTTGTTGCTTTTTTTGTCTCATACTATTGACCCCCTTTTTCCTCTTTCTTTTCCAGCCTTCAATAATTTTTTCCCCCTTCATCTCTCTTCCTTTTTGTTTTAAATATTCATCATGTCTACTTTGCATTTTGTCTTGTTTTGAATCCAATAATTGTGAGAATCTAAAATGTGTCTTTTGTGTTTGTATTAATTTCCAAAAGAGTCTGGTGTTACATTACTGCTGATTTTCACACATACAGGATGAAATCGAAGCTCCCATGTGGGTAGATCTCGATCTAGAAGCCACGTCAGGATACAAAGACAAGTGAGTTTCTTTACAACTGGTTCTAAAAATGGTTCCTCCATGTTTTCTTGTAAAGTCATTTCTCGTAAGTCAATTGTAAGACTCCACATCTTGAATCCAAGTGTAATCTTCTTCTGTTACATTGCAGTGATGATAACTGGTTCAAAATAAGCCATTTGTAAGTACTTCACCTTTGCTGTATTGTAAATTTTGTTGAGGTGTTTTCTAATTGTAGTCAATTAAATGAGAATGGCTAAATGTATGGCATTCAGGTCCTATCAAAGTTCTTCCCGACAGTTAATTTCTGTATTTTCTCGTGTTGGCGAGGGGAATACAAGCAAAACATCTTCTCCAAAGCTTCCACGATCAGTCTCAAAAAACAACAAAATCAAGGATTGGGGACAAAGCAATTGCTGTGGCGTTCCATCAAATAAGCATCACCCAATCAAGAATTTAATTAGTAAATCTTCACGGTTGAATTCCAGTGAGAAAATAAAACCCAAACCAAGCAATGGGGTTCAAAATAAGCCATTTGTAAGTACTTCACCTTTGCTGTATTGTAAATTTTGTTGAGGTGTTTTCTAATTGTAGTCAATTAAATGAGAATGGCTAAATGTATGGCATTCAGGTCCTATCAAAGTTCTTCCCGACAGTTAATTTCTGTATTTTCTCGTGTTGGCGAGGGGAATACAAGCAAAACATCTTCTCCAAAGCTTCCACGATCGGTCTCAAAAAACAACAGAATCAAGGATTAGGAACAAAGCAATTACTGTGGCGTTCCATCAAATAAGCATCACCCAATCAAGAATTTAATCAGTAAATCTTCACGGTTGAATTCCAGTGAGAAAATAAAACCCAAACCAAGCAATGGAAATCGAAAAGGAAATGCTAGATCAAAAATAAAGCCCTTCAAGCTTCGCACAGAGGTGTGTGTTTATGGTTTTGTGAAATTGACTTTTGCTTTTAAATCCTTCTGTCTTTGTCTCAGTTTACTTGAAATCATGTTAATTTTGGTGATTGATTTTTATTGCAGCAAAAGGGAAGATTCAAAGAGGAAGAATTCGTCAAGAAATTACAACAAATGATGATGGAGGAGGAAAAGCAACGGATACCAATTGCACAAGGTCTCCCATGGACAACAGATGAGCCAAAGGTAATTCCATTTAATTTCAAATGCTATCAACTTTCAAAAAAAATGAAATGTTATTGGGAATGTCCAAATGGCAACTTACTGGATTTATATATATATATATATATATATTCTTTTGGAGGTTAAGATTGAAAAACTACAGAAAAAAGCAACTCATTTCAAATGCTATCGACTTCCAAAAAAAATGAAATATTATTGGGAATGTTCAAATGGCAACTTACTGGATTTATATATATATATATATATATTTTTGGGTGCAAAAATGGCAGGTTGAATTATTTTATGCCATGCTTTGCCAAATGCTCGTAGTCGACAGTTTAAGTAATAAGCCTAATATGCATGTCTGGACTCTCCCAAGTTCATTTGAATTGATGTGGTCAATGGTATTACAGTGCTTAGTAAAACCTGCCGTCAAAGAAATCACAAGACCGGTTGATTTGGTGTTGCATAGCGATGTGAGGGCTGTGAAGCGTGCTGAGTTTGACCAATAGGTGCATTTTTAACTTTCTTTAAATATTTTTACTCAGGGTTTTCATGTATTAATCAGTTGTTTTGGGCATAATGACCATAACTTCACTCACCTATCACATATAGAGTAGGCATTGTGTCATTACTAAAGTCTTTACCATTCACTGAATCTACAAGATTCCACGTTCTCGCGCATATTACATGGCAATAATGAAATTCCCTTCATTGAATTACCGTTTAATTTTGCTTCTGTGATTGCATATTAGCTGGCTGAGAAGATGAGCCTTATTGAACAGTACAGGGAGAAAAGGGAAAGACAGCAAAAGGTACATGACAGAAAAAACCTTATGGGTGTGTTTTGGTGATATTAGTCTTGGTAGTTTACTGATATATGTGTGCATGCTGGATTTTGCTCCTGTAGTTAGAAGAAGAAGAGGAAATCAGGAGACTAAGAAAGGAGCTCATTCCAAGAGCTCAACTCATGCCCTATTTCGACAGGACTTTCATCCCTAGAAGGTACCAGATAAAATCCAGAATTTTTAAAAACTTCTTTTGCTATACATGGCTTTCCATTTGAATATGGATAACCAAAAAACCTACTAAATAGAGAAATTATGTAGTAGGTTTGGCCTATAGGACACATGGTGTGTCTTTTCAATATTAGAAAAACATATGATCCACTTGTTTCTATTTTCTATACAAGAAGATATCATGTCTATTTTGGTGGGCACGGCAAGCTGAACCTACCAGATAACTTCTCATACTAAAGACTTCAAATAGACCCTCTCCTTCAAATGATTCTTAAAAAGCAATATGTAGTTTGTATACATTGCTTTCTTTCTTCTTTTTTTATATACATTTTTTTCCCCTCAGTGTCACTTACTGTAGGTTCAACTTTTCCAGCACATTTTATTGATCAGGTGTTGTTTGGATCTCCAATTTTGTAAAATAAACCTCAAATCTAGAAGTTTTGTAATGCATCATTTGACTGGCATAAGTGGTGTAAACATAACGATGTCCCTTGTTTGTTTCAGGTTATTTTCAGGACGATGAAGCATTGCACTATACCCAGAGAGCCAAAGTTCCATATACCACCGCAACACAAGAAGATCAAGTGTGGCATGTGTTAAGATGATATGTTCACACACCAACAATGAAATGCAGAGAAGGAAGGAAAAATCAAGATTTTTCGTAATTTTTTTGTTGTCAATTACTTAATAATGCTGAACTTTTTTTTTCTTCTTTATATGGTCTCTAATATTCCTTGTGTATATGAAAGCAATCAATTTAATTGCAATTTTGATGAAACAAGTGACGGTAGTGCTGTATGCACAATTGTGTGCTATTTCAATTAATATTATCTCATAATCATTCATTTCTCTAGTGTTGTTATTTACCTTGTTTTCTTTTTTCTATCTTTGAAGCACAAGTCATGTATGCATCTTTATTTGAAGTTTTGCTCTTACACTTTGTTTGTTTGAGCATTTTTTAGATACGTGTTGGTTAGACTAATCACATAGAAATCCAAACAAAGCCTATATATTTAATTAGCACAACCTCAATATACACATTTTGCTGACTTCTTCTAGTGTACGACAAGGTAAACTTGGGTAGTTAGGACTTAGGACAGGAATAATGAAGTTTAGTTCACACCACCTTCAAAAAAAGAAAAGAAAAGGTGGTGATTATTATGCTTGTTACCTTTCTAATTCACTCGCTCTTGAAAAGTTTGATCCTTGTATACTCGTGACATTTCCTATCAACTCTATAGAAAAACTTCATAAAACTTGACTTTTTAGAGAAAATGAATGTTTGGTATATGTTCATCTAAGAAGTCCTTTAAAATCATAAAGTGCTTTTGTGCTTTCACCATGTAAATACACATTTGGAGACAAAATCTCAAATGTATCGAAATGACTTTTATCAAGCATTCTCCTTTACAAAACTTAATTTAAAAATACAATAATTGTGAAGGGAAAAAAACACAGGATAAAATTTGACTCATTGGGATGGTTTTTGTTTTTAGGATAGTATCGAAAATGTTACAAGATACAAGTATATAAGGATAGTATTGAAAAAGGGTTCTGTATTTCATGTATAGAGTGAGGAAGCTGGTTCAGAATTGTATTTGGTTGGGTATGGTTTTGATTGCTTGGCATTATCTGTTTGATAATGTTGGGTATACCTCCTTATTGGAGTGTGGGACCCAATTGGTTTGTTAAAGAGTTTCAATTTGACTTGATTTAGATATGATATATTTTTATATATTATATTTGTGGAGATCCAATCCAGTTTGGTAACAATTAGGTTTGATTACAAAATTCAAGATTCAACAATATATATAAATATATTGTATTTGTTTTCGATGTACAGAGGAGCAGCTAATTGATTTTGGTGAGATAGGGCTTGGTATGATTTATTCGGTGCTATGAGGTTGCTACAAATCTGTTCCACTTTTTCGGAAGTAGTGCGGCTGTTGATTTGCTAATTCGTTTGTGCCTTGGAATGTTTTTCAGTGCATCTTCGGCTAGATGCTTTGGTGAAGTTGGTTTGGGTTAATTATTTTGGGTCTTCTTCAACTCTGGTTCTGAAGATTTTGCTTCATCTATTTGGTGAGGTCTTTCCTCTTGTTTATTTGTGATTATTTAGAATTCACCTAAGGGTGGTTTTATGAGACCATTAGTGTCTCGTTTGTAATCGTTTGGAACTTATTTGGTTGATAGTGGAATCGGATTTCGATCCCGTGGACGTACCTCACATTGAGGGAACCACGTAAAAATTCTTGTGTTGCCTTTATTTTTCCGCATTAGTTTTTATTCCCATTGATTGATTTACTTGTGGGGAATCACATCGATTTTTCCTAACAGATAAAAGGGTTGAGAGAGAGACAAACATTAAGTTCCTTCTGTTTGTGAATAAGGTTTTGGTTTGTTTCTTGGTTGGCGCATTGTTATGGTTAGTGAAGACCCTCGTGGTTAAGGTCCTCGCGTCTTCATTCCATGTCAGCACCTTCTTTGATCGAATTCAGAAGTCATTGTTTAATCAATTTGTGATTGAAAAGCTGTCTGGTCCACCTTTGATTGAAATTAAGAACATTCAGGATGACGAGGAGAGGACAATGGCTGAGGTTTGGAAGCTTCAAAAACTGCAGAGAACTTCAAGCCAAAAGTTTTCTAGGTCTTCTTCCAAAAAGCAAGGTGAGGGGATACTAATTGATCACTTGCATAAGCTGAATCCTAATAATATCTCTGCTTGGAATATGAAGAGATTGATTAAAATTGTTCGTCATGGGGTGTTGTCGACTCTGGATGAGCAAATACTAGAATCGACAAATGGTGATGAGTCTACCACGCAGATTAGAAGCGAATTGGAGGCGAAAGTTGCAGCGAGCAAGATCTTCCAAAATGTGGCTAGGAGGGCGTCAAAGTATGTCATTTGTTTCTTTGATACTATGTTTTCAACTTATTGGGTTCCATTTTTGCATATGTTTTAACCTCATGAGTGGATTGTTTAAGCCAGATTGAGATAGAACCATTAATTCACATTAACTATCGCAAAATTTGTTAGTATGAATGCAATCTCTACAAACCAAACTTTTACAAAGCTTTGTCTGGACTGTTTGGTTGGCTAGATGAATCTTTTATAGCCCCTTTCATTCTATCAGGAACCGTATCTTCATGTTAATCATAATTACCGTAAGTTTGTATCATCAACATAATAACTGCAAGTTTGCATGTGTCAATTCAGTTATTAGATTAGAGTTTAATAAGACTAAGTTGAATCTAGACAGCGCAAAAGAATTATGTATGGAACTATTGTATGTGCTTGGTTTCCAACACTGCAATGGAGCAAAAAGAGTTGATAAAAAAAAATTAAAAAAGGGAGTGAAAAGAGTAATTGTTAATGTTGGCATAACTTAAAAATTCAAGAATTAAGGTAAGAAATGACACAATTACGTCTTATCCAATGATGTGAATTTTAATTGGACAAAGTCTTTTTGTTGAGTGAAGATTTGTTATTGGTCTAATTCACGTCAGTTCCACATCATCGAGGATCTTGAATGTTTTTATCTGGCAGGTTCATCTACCTAGAAGACCTGCAGGGTTTCATGCTAGAAGACGAGGCTTTGAAGACCATGAGCCTTTTGGGAGGCTCATCTGAAAGTGAAAAAATAAGCAAGACTTCTCTGAAGAACTGGGTGGTAAGAGCTCAGCAATAGATGGTGCATTTATTTGTGTATTGTTTAATATATTTTTTTTCTTTATTTAGTTTTACTGTTGTGTGATTAATTAATTTTGTAAAAGTGGAGGTTTTTTTTTTTTTTTTTTTAAGCAAGGAGCATTGTCATTAGTTTACATAGTGTTTTGCTTTTAAAATTATCATGTAAATATGGTAATGTGTTACGCTTGATTCTTTTAGGTTAATGCTTTTAGAGAACGAAGAGCGCTTGCCTTGACACTTAATAATACAAAAACCGCTGTCAACAAACTTCATTAGACGGTGAATGTACTAGTTGGCATCATTATAGTGGTTATTTGTCTCCTCATACTAGGAATTGCAGCAAGCAAATTTTTACTCTTCATGAGTTCTCAAATCGTTGTTGTGGCATTTATATTTGGAAACTCTTGTAAGACAGTATTTGAAGCCATTATGTTTTTATTTGTGATGCACCCATTTGATGTAGGTGATCGGTGTGAGATTGATGATGTTCAGGTATGATAATCATATTTTATTTAAAATTGTGCGTATAACGTGTTTTCTTTTCCATATCTATTTGTTCGGTTTTGACTTTTGGCGTGCATTGTGCCTTAACTATAAGATGATAGTTGAAGAGATGAATATCTTGACTACCGTTTTTCTAAGATTTGGCAACCAGAAGATTATATATCCGAATAGCACTCTTTCTATGAAGCCCATCAGTAACTATTATCGTAGTCCAAACATGGGCGATACAATTGAATTGTGTGTCCATATTGCAACTCCAATAGAGAAGATTGCTATCATTAGGCAAAGAATAATAAGGTATAGAAAGACAATCTTTTCCCTCCTCTTTAACTTTCTCTCTCTTTTTCTTTTAGTATCATGCTTTCTGCTTGTGTGAGTGCGGTTTTGATTATGTAATATGCATAGTAAGAGTAAGATTTATTTTAGAAATGAAGAGCAATTACTGATAATTTGAATTTCATGGAAGATTTCTTCAATTGACACGACCATAATTTTGGCAACTGTTAAAACATTCATGAAATTGCAGTGACAACGCATTGAGATTGGGTATGTAATAATTCTGATAAATATGAATTTATTGATTATTTCTCATGGTTGCTTATTCAGTTATATTGAAAGCAAGAAGGACCACTGGTATCCTTCACCAACTGTGGTACCGATGAACCTGGAGGAGTTAAACAAGCTGAAGATATCAGTGTGGCTGAGGCATCGAATGAACCACCAAGACATGCAGGGGAGGTGGTTTAGGAGAGCCCTTGTGGTAGAAGAGATGATTAAAATTTTCAAAGAACTTGATATTGAATACCTGTTGCTTCCCCTTGACGTCAACATTCGCAACATGCCCCCTATAAGCTCCACCTGCTGTCCCAATCATCATGACCATTGTGAAGTTGAGCATGATTGAATTGATGAAATTGAATAAATGAGCACGGAGATGAACGAGTTCTACCACTCTTTCTCTTAACCTGTCTTGCCTTGTGCTCTGCTTTTTGTTATTATCATGTTGATTGCTACTTAGTACACCAAGCACATGCATGAAATAGTTGCACTAAACAATAGACTGTAGCTTCCAGGACTTCCGTCTTCTCAGTGGAAGGGCTGATCAAAATTAACTAGGCATTGGGATTCTTTGTCCAAATTTTGTGGCAAGAGATATATATTTATTGTTAGGAAGTTGGTTGGATTGACATCTTTTGATTTCTGTTTTAGCTGATTGTTGC